TGGTGGTGGTGGTGGTTGTAGTCGTGCAGAAAATACAACAACACCAGCAACAGTACTCCTGATATTGGTGTTGTGTCATGCTATAGCAGTGGTGTTCGTAGTTTCTTCGTTTCGGGCACTCGTCCTCCTTATCCTCGTCAGCAGCAGTACGAGGAGCAGTTGTGGAGGGGTGAGCAATGGCTGGTCCACGTACTTACAACGGCAAGCATGGGAGTTCGACTTCTGCCTAGAGATGGTGCTCGTACACCCTGAACCCATGCACTCTGTAAAGCCCCAAATCTTCGGAAGGCAAACTTCAGCCTCACCGTCTTTGGCTCTCGTTCTCGGTGCTCCCGTTCCGCTCGCGCGAGCTCCGACTGGATGGTTTCCTCGAGCGACGTCATGCATAAGCCTAGGCCCTGAATTGCGGACCATGGTCGTGGACATTTTCTTGCAATGGGATCCGAGCCGCAATTAACATAATGCCCCCAAAGTCATGTGCTACAAACCAGGATCTGGGTATGGGCTAGGGTTTTCGGGTAAGCTTGTGACAACAAGGACTTAGATAGCTAGTGCTACCGTGAATCTTGGTTATAAAACATAGCCGAAACAGAATGATAGCAGGCAGTGGGCCCCCCCCCCCCCCCCGGGCGCACCCACGCCACCCCCCTGCGCGCCCAAGCCCTGTGTCCTGGATTGTCAACGTCACTTGGCTCGCCATGGAATTCAGAACCCGAGTCCTCGGATCCGACATCTACAAACAATGCAAGATCAGTCTCGGACACCGCAATCAGGACGAAACCGCAAAGGGTGGACAACAATGAAAACACACCTAAACTTCTAAACGGTATCCGGTGCAATACGAAGAAGGGAGCCCTTTGAATTGGGTCATGTCGAAAGGCGATCTGTGCGAATTACTCGCAGGTAAGATCTTTGGAAGTGAACCATTACTGCTGCAAGTGCTGACTGCAAGTAGATTCGACAGAAGCCCCGTTTTGACATCCTCCATGGAAGCCATTGAGGAGGCTTTACAATCCTCTGGACGATGGTTTAGGTCGCTCTTATTTGTTCATGTGCAGGCCTAGGAAAACTATCTCTCAGAGACTAAAACTCGGATCGAAGCCCGAACTCGAGCAGCACTCTGGCTTCAAGATCTTGAGTGAAAGACACAATCCAGCTGGCGCGCATGATCCTCTTGTTTCCTCCACTCCTATCTACGGGAATGAGACTTCGAGGTCTCTCTCTAACTTCCGACAGGTAGAACTAGCATGCTTTGAACAGCAGCAGCCCATATATTCTCCACCCCATGCCTACTTCCCGCTTGAAATCACTGCCTAGGCTTGGAGCTTGTGCCTGGCCAGGTCCTCACCCATCCAAGCTGCTGCTTCGCAAACTCATTTTCGACGAATCTCCGGAGAGATTGCCTGCACTGCGTGAATTTGGGTTTGGGATTTATGGTTTCTGAAATGCGGAAGAAGGGCTGCATATCGAGACTACGATTATCTCTTCTCCCCTTAGACGGGGAGCAAAAAGGAAACAACAAACACATGCATGCGTATGCGTATGCTTATGTAAGGTATGTAGATATATATATATATATNNCATGCATGCATACATACAGACAGACAGACAGACAGACAGACAGACAGACAGACAGACATACATACGTGCATTACATTACTTATTTACATACTTACATACATACCTACATACATACATACATACATACATACATACATACATACACATAATACAAGATAACAATATATGGTGATGTAATAAAGCTGCGAGGACTTTAAAACAATAATGAAATTAGAATTAGGGCTTGGGGGTACAACTTGATGAGGAAGCCTAAAGCATCCTACTGTGAATTCTTCAGGCCCCCTTCCCAAAGGATCCAAACGCCCCACGCCCCCTTGGAAACCCTAACTCAGATCCAAGGCCTGTCGGGAAAGCTCGGACTGCCCATACTTTCATGGTCCAGTTCACATTCATCCATCGGTGGGAAGTCCTCCATGGCTAGTATGTGCCTTGCTTTCAGAGACAGACGACTGAAAGACTCGGCACAGAATTTCAAGAAAAGACCCCCTATGTTGGTCAGCTATGCTGCTCAAGTGGGAAAGGACTGGGAGCTGCCTTCCTCCGACCTTCTGCCCGCTTCTGCAGTGTCGGCTTATGTCGGATTCCTGCTGGTTACCGTCCCCTTGAAAACGTGGTATCAGGGGCAGCGCATTTCAAACTGTGAGATGCGATATGGATCGAAGATGATTCTCGAAAGCTACACATGCAGTACACATAATACATGCTGTTCATGGTCCGGAAAGTACTATACCCCGACGGCCTCAGTGGCTGCAGGAAGCACACCACGCTGTCACACAACAGGGAACGAGTCCGGGAACGAGCACACTCCCTCAGTTGGCCCACAGTTACTGCTTGCACGCGCATGCTGCTGCCAGTTCGGCCTCTGATGACGGAATGCGAAAGTTGGTGTCAGAACAGTCGGAGCCTGAAGCTGTGATCAAGAGCGGCCCTGACAACCTTGAAGCCCCCGGCGCACTGTTTGTACCCCTGACCGTGAGCGCTTTTGCGACAGAGTCAGACTTAGCCAGACAGGAGAAAGATGCCAGAAGGCGGTATGCCGTATGCCCCATCAGGCCTTGCATACAGGTCCGGAGTGCAGGATTAGTATAGGACTTTCAGGAAACTTCAGCCTGTCATCCTCCGAAATCCATGAAAGGCGAATGAGCACAGTTTCTCGCAGGACGAAGCAGCACTCAGGGCTGCAACAAAGGCACAGGGTTAAGGGTGGTTGCTCTGGATTTCGGGTTTACAGATTTCAGGGTTCCAGGTCCGAGGCCGTACTCTTCGTTCAGGTTACGGACCTTGAGGTCGAGCTTGGCTGCAGGCAAGGGAAAGGCAAAATGGTCCAATACCATCAGAGCTGAGGCCAAGGGAGCTAACTTACGTCTGGGAATTGGGGCCCAAACTAGGATGCCAAGCACTAAACACTGCAGAACAAAAAGGGTTGAGATCTTGCAGGTCGAACTCCACTTATAAAGTCTATTCGTCTACCAGA